GAGGGGTGAGAACATTCCAAAGCTTTCAGAATGCTAAGAACAAATTTAATTGATTTCATTAATAATGATGTCATAAGCAAGTAAGATAAACTTACTTAAAATCTGTTGGTTACATGGTGTAAGGGAAAAGAAACAGAAAGAGTTTTGAGTTATTCTTGACTTCTATTATATAGCCTTCCTCTTACTGTCAGACATTAACTTAACATTAACTCTCCACATTAACTCTCATCTTTAAAACACAGGATTAAAAATGTTTGTTTAAGAATAAAATGAATTAGCATGTACGGAACTGATTAGCACAGTGTCTCATTCATTCTTTGTATATTGTATATAATTTTCTGGATATTAATAACTATTCAAATCAAACCAGAAAAATACATCCTCTTTCTTCAACATATATTTCCACGGAGTTACAAAAAGTAAATAAATCTCCATTCACAGTTATTGCTGGGCTAGAAGATGTTATTATCTCAGATGAGCCACATCGTTGGCCCAAAGCAAAGTGAAGGAAATCTGAGATAAAACGTTTTTTGCTTTGCTATAAGAGTACAACTAGCTCAGAATGGTCTGATGAAAGAGGAATTAATTTTCATTACGTGAAGGCAGAAAACCCCTCCTTTGATAATTGGCTTATTAAGTAGGTGGGGAGTACCATAGTGAGGGAAAGGACACGCCAGCATGAAGAAATCGTGGATTGACAAGATCTCAAAGCTAGAAAAGACGTCAGGGACTATATGAGCATATTACCCTCGAAAAAAACAGAAATTTGCCAACCATACTCATAGTATTTATTGTTTGTGCCACTTATGTGCCACTTATGTATTATATTTGAAAGGCAAATATAATAGACCATTTTCCTCTTAAATAAAGAAAGCCCAGAAGGGACAGCATTTCTTTCCCTGAGTGGCAGGACACGCAGAGTCTGTTCTTATGGCCAGCACCAGCAACTGTATTAATGCCTGGCATTAACTCTTAGAAGGGGCCTGTTTGCTTCTTCCATGTGTGTTTGCTCTGATTTCTTATTTCAGTTCTGTTCATCGTATAATGTATATGATTGCTGAAGCTCCTAAAGTTCCTCTTGTTAAGAGTTATAAGTAAAATTCAATAAACGATAACATATCATCTCTTATTTTGGTCCTCGGCATACTGTTTTGCTTGTTCTTTGTCTCTTGTTTCACATCTATCGAATTCTGGGTGTGCTTTTTCTCTCCTCTGCTAAAATGTGAGCTCCTTAAATGCAATAGCTACCTCTCCTATTCTGCTGTATTTCCTTCAGCATCAGAGCAGGTCTCTATGTTGTTGTTGAATGAGTGAGAAAAAAATGACATAATGATTTCAAGTATGTACCAATCCTAATGTTAAGATTTAAAAGGTGATCTCATAAATTCACTTCGTCTAATAATAGTTACTTCTGATGCCAAAAAGTCTGTTGATCCACTCACCAAATACTGATGGATCCTACTTCTGGACAACTGTATAACACTTGGGAAACATCAGTGAGCAAAATAAAGATCCTTGCTTTTGAGAATCGTATCTTCCACTGGGGAAGACAGGCTCTAATCAATAAAAATAATGAACTAAGTTAGACAGTAAGTTGGAAGGTGATAAGTGGTCTGAGAAAGACAAAACGCAGAGCAATGTAGGAGGAAGGAATTACAAGCTCTGGAGAGGTGGGAAAGAGTTTAGAAGACTGAAAAAATGGTCAAGATAAGTCTCCCTAAAAAGATCTGAGTAAATACAAGAAGGAAGTGAGTCACCCAATATGTGATGGAAAAGCATCCCCACAGAGCGAGAACCTGGGGAGACCTGCAGTGTTCAAGGGACGGAACTATGTAAGTGCGCATGGCTGGTGCGGAGGATTTTCCAGGGAGGTTACTTAGGGCTGTGTGGGCCCTTCCAAGGACTTTCGTTTCTCTGCGAGATGTAGAATCCCTGGGGATTTTGAGTAGAGGGATAACATGGTCTGACTCATGTTTTATAACTGAGAGCTGAGGAGAGACTGACGCTGAAGCAGGGGCACCTTTTGCAAATTATCCGTGAGAGAGATGATGGTGGCTTGGACCAGGGTGATCGAAGAGTTGGTGGCACAAAATCTCCAAATTCTGGATCTCTTTTGGAAGTGGAACCGATACATATTGCTGATGATTGCGTGTGGGGTAGACTAGAAAGAGATGAGTCAAAAATAGGTTTTTGGCCTGAGTGGTTGGAAGGAATGGTTGCCCCCAACTAGGATGGCAAGACTCGGGTAAGGAGGAAGTTTAAGTGTAGACACATGGAGTTTAAAATGTTTAGTATTTGCTGAGTAGGCATCTGGATTTATGAATCTGGACTTTAGGAAAGAGCTCTGGCATGGAAGTATGGTCATTGACATTGATTTGCGTGCGCACACGCACACACACACACACACACACACACACACACACACACACACACAGAGAGACTGAGTATACTCACCAATAGTACCTTCAGAAATTCACTCTGGGAATAACTCAGAATCACTGCACTCGGATTCTTAGGAGAGAACTTTGGTCCCATCGTGAGCCTGAGGTTGGAGTAAAGAGGCATCTTCCATGACCACGTGAAGTGGGGAAGGATGGTCCCCACAGGAAGAGTTAGGTTCCCCAACGAAGGGAAAAATAAAAGGTTTTAAAAGGCAAAATGTGCTTCCATTAAGCCCCAGTGCCTGAGTCTTTTGATTCCAGTTTAAAATTCCTGAGCCTTCGTTTCTGCCCCCGGTAGGAAATGATCTTTTAAATAGATGCCGATGGAGGCTGCATTAGTCTGGATCTTCAGAGAAGCTGAGTTCAAGATGCAATTAAAGGTACAAAGACTTTATTAGGGAAAATGCCTGGGAAAGAAAATGGAGAGGGCCCTGGGAGAACAACCAGACTGTGATGTGAGTCTGATGTAGAGAGACGGAGACAGGGCGGGAAGGCTGGTAGAAGCATCTAGACCGCCATGCACTCGTAAGGAACGTTCGAAAGGCCATCAAGGAATCCTTCAGTCCATAGCCCTCCTCAAAAAAGTTCATGTCTCAGGCCAACCTTAGCATTCCTGCCACCCCACTCATGGGCTGAGAGCAGTCTTGGGCAGGCGTGGCTTCAGCGCCACACAGCGATGGATTTCAGAGAGCAGGCGGGTAAGCTTGGTCACTCGTGCTGTCTGTAGTTGGAGCTCTGTGAAGTGAATTAACATGGCAACCACAGGTGCCCTGGGATGTCAATAGCATCTCTGCCTTTAAAACTGCCAAAGATTCGTTAAGCAATTGGTTCACAGCAAGGGCCAAATATGTACCCATGCCAGACACCAGTGAGGAAAATCTGAATACACATGATTACCGCAGACTTGGCTCTGGGGGTCTCTGCCTCAAACAGCTTGCTCCAAGTTCTGACCTGAATTTCGCGAACTGGACTTAAATCGTGAAAGAACATATCTGCGATTTAATAGTCATCATGATCCCCAAAGTCAGGGGCCAAGAGCAAACCTGTGTTATTGAAGATCACCATATTCCACTCCAGTTTCTCTAGGTCCTGCCTAGAGCAAAGAAGTACCTGAAAATACAGAGATGTCTCAAGAGTCAATTTCATATATCTTTACACTTAGAATTTCTGAGAAAATTAGAGAAACTTATTTTGGTTGGAATGCTCTAGGGATATAATCACACTATGATAATAGGATATTATTATAATATATAATGGTATATATTATATAATATTATGTAATATAATGTATACATATTAGTATCAAGTACTCTTTTAAGCAGTTTAAATTTATTGTTACTCATTTAATTTCCACAGCCTCACTATGATGTAGAACTCTTGTAATATCCACTTACATATGTGGAAACTCAGGCACAAAGAAGTTAAGTGACTTGCCCAAGGTTCCACAGGGAGGGAGAGCTGCAGTCGGACTTGAACCCAAGTGCTCTGTGTTCAGAATCCTGCTCTTAACTACTCCAATGGACTGCTCCTGCCCCTCCTCTGCCAATGCTATTTTGGTAGTGATTTAGGATAACACAGTCTTAACAAAACCTGCGGAGATCATCAACTCTGAGCACATCATGGATCCCTCCATCTTAGTCACAGAAAGAACAACATTGGGCTCACAATTTGTGAATTCAGACAAGTACAATAATTTCAACAATATGATCTTGCTAAAGTACAGTTTCCCAAACTGCAGATTTAGACCAGTATTTTAAAAAATGAAATGAAAGAGAATAGAAAGAAATATCAGAAGGCATTACACATAATAGGGGTAAATTGTGTGTGTATGTGTGTGTGTGCGTGTGTGTGTGTGTGTGTGTGTGTGTACTGGATTCAGAAATGATTTAACTGAGGGTTGCAGTTTAAAGAAAAACAAAAGCAAAATTTTAAAGTGTCTGTTCAAGGAGCTATTAAATCCTTCCATTAAGAAGGGTTAAGTCTCCTGCCTACCTATGGATCATTAGCAATAACCACTGGCACTGAACACTCAATGTGTTTTAAGTAGGGGAGCTTGGAGTTTCACGGGAACCAGATAGATTATACTCAGTCCTGAGGCTGCCACTTAGCCTGTCTATAAGAAAGTAATAAGGTAGGACATGGAGTCTTGGACATTAACCCTTGGGAAATCCCAGGATTAATACCGTAGGTTATTTAATTAGCCATCTTGTTCTCCACCAAGACCACTGAAAGAGCATTCATCCTCACTATATCACTTAACACTGGAAAAAGCAGCTAAAAGTACCGAGGTTCCAGCTAGTTCCCACTCTTTCATTTAATATTCCTTTTTCTGCCTGCTTAGTGCACTAGCCTGACATTTTTCTTTGTTCTTATGGGCATATATCTAGCTTCCTCCCACAGATCACTTGCATGGCAAGAACGGTACAGACTCTAAACATTATTCTTCACCCACAGATGTCAAAAATGCATGAGCATGCAGTGCGTGCTGGCATGTGGGTGGCGAGGAAGGAAAGAGCCAAGGCAGTCATAGAAATACCAATTTCTCTGGTGCGATTATACATGGCCTCAGGACTGCTAAGGGGCCATAATCACGAGACACCTCCTAGTTCAGCCACGGAGCCAGCTGCGCTGGACGGCCCGCCCCTGCGGCCAGCGCTCCACGTGAGCTGCGGTGGGAAGTACAGCCTTCACACTCTAGGAACTTGCAATCCAGTGGAAGTACAAGGCAAATAGGAGTGATAAAAATAGAGCACTTCAGACTGCAAGAGAAAGAGAATTAATTTTCAAAATATTTTCTAGGTACAAATTATGTTTCATCCCAAATTCACAAGAATGAATGCCATAAACTTATAAAATGTTTCATTATTTATGTTTCTTTTAATCTCACTGAGATGTGTGGGTTTGGGATAATAAATTTTTATTTATAATTTTTGTTTCAGTCCTTCTGATTGAAGATGAAAAACGTGAACTAAACAAGACTAACAAACAATAACAGTTCATTTCTAATTAACATTTTCCTTGGAAGACAAAAGCATGGACAGTAGGAGAAATGTAACTGAGTAGTAGTTATTCCAGATAAGGCACGCGGTATAGACAGCTGCTGGGCTTTTGGGATGAAATTGAAGGATTATTCTTTGATTTTTCCCCAGTCCTCTAACCGAAGCCCTGGTTGCAATCTTTTCTCTTCAACCACTGAGAAATATTATAAAATCTGAAGTTGTCTTCAGTCCTGCTTATTTTAACTATGTGTGATGGGAAAAATCACTATCATCAAAAGCTATAATATCCAAAATTTAAACAATGCTCTTGGTTAGACTGCATCTCACAAGAATATCATGCAGTAGCTTATACAGGCTATAGCGCAGGCTGAAAGACTTACTCAAGTTTTCTTGGCCAGTTCTTTAGGATGTAATACTAATACTTAGGTTTAGATTAAATTTGATGGATCAAATTTGATGAAATCATATTTAGTCATCTTTCCAGGAGGAATAGATGAACTTACGGTTTAGCGTTACAATTGCATGTATCCTATTTTTCAACAATAAATAGTTTTCACAGATCTTCAGAAATGCAAACTGCTTGAATCTGCAAAGAAATCTATTAATAATGTGAATAGTTAATACCATAATCTGACCCTGGATTTATGAATTTCCTACAGGTAGCACTCCACAACCAGTTGCATACTTCTAGAACCAGCACATTGCTCTCAATATCAACTATAACTACAGAAAACATCTTGCAGGCTCAAGGTACGATTTCTGTGGGCCTAAGTGGGAACTTGCTCTGCTTGCCCCCTCCTCACCAAGAAAGCTCTACCAGTTTTGATTCACAAAACAAAGCTCTCTCAGAATGAGACAGAAGCTTTTTGTACTTGCCGTACAAAAACATCTAGAAATCATAGGTGCTTCCTTAAGTAAGGGTAGAAGGAAGATTGCGAAGATTGGCATACATTAAGGTGACTTGTTTTTTTTTCTTTCTTAAAATAATAGGCACTGAGGATGGAAAAAATGCAAGCTCCGCATCGACCAGCCCCTCTTATTCCAGTAAGTAACAGACACATCTTCATATACAGCAGTGTATGTTTGAATGTGACCATCAAAGGGAAGGGATTAGATTATGGACAGCCTTTTCTCCACTTCACTGAACCTGCAATCCCATTATAATCTTACTTAACTGCTGCCTGCTTTGAGAATTTTCTACAAGTAAGTCTGGTCTTAATGACCACAGAAAAAAAGCATACCTTGGTGATTTTTTTTCTTATCTTAGTGCTTAGCAATTACCGCCAAGGGCCAAGTATGACTCTATAGGACTGATTTCAGATAAGCCAGAATGCACAGGCAGAGATCCCCATAAAAATGAATTTTTCTGAAATCATCATGTTGTATACCTTGACTGTATTCCATCTTTATTTGTCAGTTAAATATTTTTGAATGAAAAATAATCAGTAAAGTAAATTATACTAAAAAATGATTTTTTTGCCTTGACACAACTTTATCTTAACATTAAAAAATGGTCTTTTAGAAATATTTCATTTGGCTAAAATATATACGTGTCATATAAAATATGTATGCTAAGACTGAACACGGAATATCCAATAATTTCCTTAGTAATTAAGGATAAGATGAATATATATGGAGCTGGAATCATAAAGGACTACCTTTGGTTTATGTAAAGCCATTCTGTTAAATAAGTCAGCATAGAAATTATTGACCTGCTGAATCATGGCATATTCATTTTGGGAGACAATAATGACCTCACTCAAGATCTATTATGAAATCAGCAGAACTTTCTTAAAACAAGTATTTAACCCTGAAAGTGTAAGCGTAAACCACCCTACAAATGAATTAGAGAACTATTCTCACCCCCCAACCCTGTAAATATATGAGGAGTATCTATGCAAGCAGATGAGACTATGTAACTAAATAGTGACTTTAACTTCCTCTAGCTGTGTCCTTAGGACAGCTTGCTTGCTTTCATCACTACAGTTTTAACCAGGGAAATGACCATCACAACAGAGTGTAGATGCTAGAAAAACCAGGAAAAACCCTTCTCTTAATAAAAACATGCTAAGTTACTGCAGCAACATCAGTCCCCAAAACACACACACACACACACACACACACACACATTCACACACACCTCACCTGAACCACGTTTTTCATTTTTAAGAATCATAACCACTGCAAGATACACGTTCTTTTATGCCTTTCCTAGTTTTAAGATATTATCATAGCGAGATATTTGTGAGTGTTTTAGAAAGCCAGCACTAAGACTAGAGCAGTCCCAAATGGGCTCTATTTTTTTTCCAGTAACTTCATTATAAAGGACTAAGGAATATAAAGTGTGGGTTTAATTATAATTTAGAGGACACTTTCTGGCCCTCCAGTCTTCCAATCTCCTCATACTCCTCTGGTCTTCAGGAAGATGGAGGAACTCTCTTAGGTTTGGAATTTTGTTTCAGAAAGGTTACAAGACTGACATCAAGTGGATACGTCAGAAATGACAACTAGAGAAAAAACCCATGAGTCAGATACATCTCTGCCTAAAATACAACGTTTTTAATAGAATGATGTTTAAAGAAGAAAGAAAGCGTACATGCTTTGCTCACTTAGTAAACTATCTATGCGAAATCCAATAGCCACTCTAATTGACAATGTCTCCAATATTCTTCTAGGTATTATTTTGCCGGTGGTTATTACTTTGATTGTAATAACACTTTCAGTATTTGCTCTGGTGGGTTTGTACCGAATGTGCTGGAAGACAGACCCAGGTGGGTACCAGTGTTTTGTTTTGTTTTCCTGAAAGGAAAATGAACATACGCTCAGTTTAAACTTGACTTTAAACTCTTAAACGGAGAGCAGAGTTACAGAAAAAAATAAAATGCCGTATTTCCTGATCACAGAAACAGAGGGGCAGAGTAATCCACTGAATACAGGTGAATGCAAGGAGTAGGGGTTAACTACTATTAGTAGATATTATCAAATATGGGCACATTATTTTTAATAAAATAGCCCAAGCGTTGTGGATGGTTGGAGAAATATGGCCGTATTAAGGGCGTAAAACGGATGCCTCGTCATAAGTGAAGATTGATTCCGTATCCATGTAACAGAGAAGAAAAGGGAGGCTTGCTGAGAATTCAGTTCAGGGGCCCATCATTTCCAGAGATGTTCTGTGACCTACTTCGCTCCTGGGAGGCACAGATTCCTTCCAATGAAGGTGTCTTCCATGACTCTGGTATATTGTATTCTTTTTTGAAATAAGCTTTCTATTTTAAAATAGATTTAGATTTACAGAAAAGTTGCAAAGATGGTACAAGGAGTTCCCATATACCCCACATCTAGTTTTCCCTCGCTCTTAATATCTTATGTTAGTATGGTATATTTGTGCCAATTAATGAACCAATATTGATAAATTATTATTAAGTAATTTCCCTCCTGTATTCATATGTCTTTCAGTCTTTTTTCTACTCCAGGAAATTTTGATCTGTTTTTACATAACGCTGTACCTGAGTCCCCTTCAGCTTCCATGGCCCAGCTGCTCCCATGTTATCTTAACTCCAATCTCTCTTTCCATTCCAGACCGTGGCCCTGGTGGTGTCATGTAGTGTGGCCTCTCCATGCCCTCTTCCACACTGTTCCCTCTCCTGCAATGCCCAGTCCCCCTCTTGGCCTTTATAACATACCTAGTCTCCAACTTATCCGTTAAGATCCAGCTCGAACACCAGTTGACTGTATATTTTTATAATAGACCACTTCTTCAAACACAATGGATACTTCCTTTAATTTTAATTCTACGGGATTTGATGTAGACCATACCATTGATCATACTATAGTATTGTTACTTCTTTTTGCGTTTTCTTACCTCGAAAGTCAGGCAGTGCCTCTAGTCACAAACTACACATTGTTCACATTGCATTGTACCTAATATATAGCAGACCTTTATTGCATACTTGTTGAGTCAAATTTTTTAATGTTGAGTAAAATAGAATCTTCCCTTTCCCCACTGTGATTCTAAATACTTCACTAACAAAACTCTACCTAAGTTTCATAAACTGTTAAAAGGTAAAAAGCAATTATTTGTATAAGCTATATGAGCCGCATTATTCTGTTTTCCCTGTGGACCGTGTGCCCCTAGGACACTAACGAATGCTGTTCCCGAGGCCAGCCCCTTCCCGTATATGGCAGGGATAGTTTGACGTATGGTCACGGCAGTGCGAGGGAATGTTAGGAGACCAAAACTGCAGTGTTTATTTTAGCTCTTGGTGGAAAATAAGGAGAAAACAAATCAATGTCTTTTCCTTTGGGAGTGAGTGAATAAACTTCTTAATAATGTCTGAAATATGTTTTCTGACCAGTTTTTGGAGGGGAAATAGCATTTTTATAAATCCATTTAATTTCTCCAAGTTTCTAAACTACCAGTCCTGTCTTTTATGGGAAATTCGCCATCCAAGTTGAAGCCTGCGGCTGTTGCATTTATAGGATAGGTAAAAATTAGTGTACTAAATCCGTTCGTAAAAATATCCTGTGTTGAAACATTGCTTTGCATAGGAAAGATTTGAAAATGCATTAATTGAAAAGTTGACATTTTCCATTAAAGAGGACTCTCGGATGTATAAAATTCCTACCACTCTTGAGAGTTATTCTGAAGATATATAGTGCTTTAAAACCAAGTTTGGCAATTGTACCATTAACCAAATCTATCTGGTTACTGTTAACATGAGTTTGCAGAATTTGTTAATGGAATTTACAACATTGTTATCATTAAATTAGCACCATTAAACACCCGCAGTTCATCATTCTTCAAGTATGTGGGTGAGACTTCATTAAGTTCAGAAAATTAGTAAACTTGCCATGCTCTCTGGAAGACAACTCAAGTTGAAGATTTTAGTATGAAATTAGGCTTACATGGGCAAGGTTAACAGCAGGCTTAGCTTTAACCAAATAAGAATTGTGTGTATTCAGACAGTAGTCTGCTGGCATGCGTCTATCTGCTAATGTACCCATCATGAAGGAAAAGGTATTACAACAGGCATACAAAAAATATCAATTCATTTTGAAACAGGGCTATGAGCATCATGGGTGATACTATATATGACACTTATAGGATCAAAAAATGCTGTTCAAATCCTACTGATGGAGAGAAGAGGAGGTTCAATCTCGTTGGTAAGCAGCATATGGTGCCGTGGACTAAATCCTAGGAATCAAGAGTTATGATGGGACATCTTAGCCAAAGTGACAGAAATAGAGGCCGGCAAAATATTAGTGGAAGTCCAGGTCTTTATAAAACAAGGATGGTCAAAGCCAGGAGAATTATATTCAAAAGCCGCGTTCAATGGCAAGATCTAGGTGAGACAAGAAAGGAAGTCTAAGCAACAGGAGCTGGGCACCAGTGGAATAAAACCAGAGCAAAATCAGGAGCAAAACAAGGTGGACCTTAAATGATCACATTAAACAGTTGGTCTAATCGGCCACAGGCTAATGCAGGGTTTAACCACCAACATCCCCTCCAGAGAGGCCACGTCCTTGTGCAGAACGAGTGACTCCGAGTTCTCGCTCTAAATCCAAGGTGTTTCCTACCAGACATTTGCGAAGCAACGTGACAAAGAGTCCAGAAGATCAGTTACAGTGAGTGGCTGAGTGACATTTTGCAGGGCTTCTGTGAGAGGCTGAATCACTGAGTTTAAGATGCTATTAGAAACAAGATCTACCTTGTACCTCACCACAAACAGTGATTTTCTGTCCCAAGAAAGAGCAACGTATAAAGGAAAGTAGAAAACTCAGTTCTTTGGTGTAAAAAATGGAATTCAATACTTTGAAGAGGGTTTTTTTCCGGAGATCTTGAAATGAACTGAGACATTCTCTGATGTCTGTGGGGTGCAGTAACAGACAGCAGTTTCACATAGCAATATGAAACTATAACATCAAACTTAGTCTAGAACCAAGTTCAGTGGAGTTGATCTAATTAGGACTATCCCATGAATATCAGGATGAGCATTAACCACAGCTGAGGAAACGGTCTGTCGGGGGAATAAAACAATCTCAAATTGGCTTTGGAAACATCTCTGCACAGAAAACAGTAGGGATCTCAGGTTTTTGGCAGCCAAGTTCCTTGCACCTCTAATAACAATTCTCTCTTCTAGGCACGCAGGAAAATGGAAATGATCAGTAAGTAAGGCCACATCATTTTTTTTTTCTAGAAGCTCTGACCCTACCGATTACATAGGGAAAATTATTGATCCTCTACTTATACCATTTTTCTTTGTTTCTAAAGAAATTTGTGTAGAAAGTACTACATATCGGCTTTGGCTGACTATTTTTCAAAGCTCTCACTATTTAACAGAGAAATCGCAACAACTAAAAAAGACTGCCTGAGCTAAAATAAAGTGGTAAAATGGGAAATACAAAGATTAAATGGAAAAATAGAAGAATGAGTAGAACCATAAGGGAAAATACCATAGAAAACATATCTGGAGTTTTAAAATAGTTTTCCCAGTGAAATTTTCAGTATGTTTCTCACAGGGAAACATCATGCCTATACCCTGAGCTGGGTCTGAGTGACTTTGACCTAACAGTATGCTGTTATGGTTATGCTACTTTGACTTGATTCAAACAAAGAAGTTGTTAGCAATCCGGGCAACTGTCACACCGAAGGTGCTACAAAGAGACATGGTGAATTGTTTCCATGCCAAAAATAAACCCTGTGGTTAAGTTTTCTTTGTTGACCTGAATTTGTAGCAGCCTTTATGTAAGGATTTTTGTGTCTCATCAGGTTGTAAACTTTAGAAGTAATATCCTTAGATTACCTACCCACCTGATTTAGAGGTGGAGGCTTTTAAGATCTCTAGGGGAAAGAGTAGGGTTTGTAACTGTTTGGGATAGGTGGGAACTCTTGGTTAAAATAGACGGTTTAGTCACTGCACTGCAGTATCTCAGGACTTCATGAAAAGGAAAATCTCCAGAACTCAGCGTCAGCCCAAAAGGTTTGGAAATATTTCTGTATCCTCCCTTTCGTAAATCTGATTGGAGGCAGGAGCCACGTGGACCTCGTGACAAGTGTTTCACATAACACACATTAATGTTTAATTGATCTGGTGATCAGCACTATAACAGAATGAAAGGGATTTATTGGCTTGATTCCAGGAAAAAACGGAAAATGCTAAAAAGCGTATGCGTGTTTGTATGTGAAGAGACAAAGATTCTACCGTAGAAACACATACAAATATATATGCGTGTGTATCTTCTTCATTCTGTTTGTGTCGCCTTTACTTTCTTTCACAGACATACACTGATAATTACTGTGGTGCTAACTTACTGTTTTCTGTTTCAAACAGACCCCAGTCCGATAAGGAGAGTGTGAAGCTTCTCACTGTTAAGACAATTTCTCACGAGTCTGGTAAGTTCCCGGATGGTTGGATGAAACGTGGTTATTTCAAAATCTAACTCTAGCCTTGGATTTGTTCATGTGAAACGTAACCAAAAGGCATAACGTCTTTAGAAACAGTCAATTAGTAACTCTCAATAAATGCAAAATTTTCTTATGAGCCCCAGAAATACCATTTTGATAAGATTATTGTACTATCTGGCCTTTAGAGGTGGTTTTTCTACAGATGTGTAGATGTGTTCTACTGAGTGGGTGGTGGCTGGAGACATTTCTTATTCTGCAAGAGTGGCAGAAAAAGCACTAAGTTTGTTCATGGGTTTTTTTTTTATTATTATTGCAGTTAATTTGTTTCATTTTGGGTAATG